GTGATTAACGAAAAAGTTTTAATAATCAATTCACTCCCCTCTTGGTTAGTTATTCTTGGGCTAACAAAAGTCAACGCATGTATGTTAATATTTTCTCTTTAATGTATGTATTTGTGTGCCTTTTTGTATGCTTACATATTAAATTTTGAGTTTCACCACATTCAATTTTTATTTATTTATTTATTTTGATTTTCTACATGTATTATGGTAAAACATAATGGAAGTTATAAAAAAAATACTCTATAAATTAATAAACTATTCATTTATCGATAAATTAATAATTTCTCTAAAATAATTAAAAAAAATTTATCTCAACATTATTATTTTATAGAGGTTTTACTGTATTGCTAATAATATTTCAACTTTACATCTTTATAGCTAGTTTGTTTGGCATTTTAAGTAGAATTGTGACTGTTGGGAATGAGTCCCAGTCGCCATTTTTGACCGATCTCTCTCAAGTTGGGACCCACAAATTTGGAAAAAAGGTCAAAAAAAATTATTTTTATGTTAAAATAATGTCAAACAAACAGGGGCTTAATCAAGAATCATTTTAATTATCAAAGGATAAGGATTGCATTAGGTGGACTTTTAATTGGACTTAAATTGGGCCTGTGGGCAAACATAATAACGGGGCTTAAAATGTTTTGTTTTTCTGATGGACCGACCAAAATATTAACACACGGTATGCGGGGATCTTAACCTAGTTAGTGACAATTAATAAAGGAAAAAATTCACAACTCAAGCTTTATCTATCCCAAAATAAAAAGTCAAACCTCAAGGTTTAGAATTGCAAAAATAAGGTTTTTCATGAATTAATTAATTATATTTTACAATTATTATATTAAATTAAATATTTAACTGTAATATAATATAATTAACCCACTCTCATCCCACCTCACCTCACCTCACCTTACCTCCATCTTCACCACCCCCACTACTCTGGCGACTACTCCGGTGACCGGGGACTACTCCGGCGATTGTTCTCCGACCACACTTAATTCCGGCGACCGTTTCGCCGTCGCTTAATTCCGGTAACTGCTTCGATTTCGATGTCACAGATATCTTATTAAGTAGTTAAAAATTTAATTTTCAGTCACAACTTATTAAATTAATTGGTCACATATTATTTTGAGGTCACGGATCAAAAAATTGAGTCATTCACAATTGACTTCATTGGTCACTGATAAAAAATTACAGGTCACATATTTTTTTTATAGAGGTCACAGATTTTTAATTGGTCACAACTTAAAAAAATTATTCCATATTTGTTGGTCACAGGTTATATTTTCAATCACATATTAACGAATTTAATATCACAGTCCCAATTTCAGTACACCACCAATACTTGGTCACAGGTCACAGATCGACCAAATGGTTGGTCACAGACACTTCATCCCATCCGCTGAACCCGTCCCCCAATCCTAGTATACCACCAATACTTGGGCATAGGTCACAGATCGACCAAAAACATATCATCCCATACTTGCCGCCACAGTCACAACCACCCTCCAACAATAACCGCCATCGTCGGCCCCATCACAACACCATCACATGAACGGTCATTTTATCGCCACCACA